AGAGAGAGGGAGACACAGAATCTGAAACAGGCTCCAGGCTCTGAGCTGTCAGCACAGAGCCCGACGCCGGGCTCGAACTCAGACCGCGAGATCATGACCTGAACCGAAGTCAGCCCCCCAACCGACTGAGCCACCCAGGCGCCCCAGAGCAATTTTGCTTTTATTTAACAACACATAGCATCTATCATAGGCCAGCCACCATTCATGGCAAATGAAAAGTTCATGGCAAATACAAACTCACATAATCCTTATAACCTTATAAATAGGTATTATCCCTGTTGTATGGATGAGGAAACTGAGAAGAGATGAAGTGATTTGTCCCATGTTCTTGTCATGAAGGTGTATAATTGAGCAGCCAGGATTCAAATCTAAGCTTTTTTTTTTTTAACCATTATGCTACACCGCCTCTCCCATACCGCATTTGCTCTAGAAAACTTATACGATATAGCTGTGCACTTTCAAAATGCAAAAAAATTACTTTCAAAATACGAAATTATTCACTGGCTGCGTAACATTACATCCTACAAATCTGTCCTATAGCTTTGGTGGCCTTTTTTTTTTTTTTTTTTAAGTATATTTCATCTCTACACCCAATGTGGTGGGTGTGTTCAAACTCAGGACCCTGAGATCAAGAGTCACATGCTCTTTTTGACTGAGCCAGCCAGGCACCCCTCCCGTAGCTTTGTTTTGTCTTTGATTCCTTGATTCCCACTGGAGGTGGGTGGCATGCGGAAACCCAGCCAAAGCCACAGATGTTGCCTCCTCCATGTTCAAGTGTGACCCAAACTCAGAGAAGGGTCAAGGCGGAAGGCAAAGGATGCTGGCAGCAGCAATCGTTTCTATCTCTTCATGCTGTCCCACAGTGTGGGGAGAACAGAAGCAGGACCAGGTGGCAGGAACCTAGGGAAGGAGCCTGAACCCTTCCCACCCCCAAGGAATGGTGTGCTCAGACTGGGTGTGGAAGGGAGAGGATGTCTGTGGGAGCCTTGGGCAGAGTATGCCTGGCATACGGTGGGTACCCAATGGCTGTCGGGAGTATCCCACCCAAGAGAGCGTAAGCTCAACTCTGCGCGTTCCCTGTGAGGAAGGCCCCTGATGGTGACCTGAACCAAGACCACCAGCAAAGGAGAGGGGGGCCATCTCCAGCCTGCCCTGCTGGCCCAGTCCCACCCCAACTCCACCACCCATCTCCTTGCCACAAGCATCAGGCTCCAGTAGCCCTCCAAAGCATCTTCCCTCCTGGCCTTTGCTCATACTGTCCCCGCTGCCTGGAGCCCTCTTCTGCCCTCATGCCCTTAAGTCCTACTGATCACTTATCAGGTACTGTGGTGGTCCTAAGATGCTCCATGTTCCAAGAAGCCTGTCTTGAACCCCCCTCTCCCTAAGCCAAGTGGGGTTCCCTCCTCTCTGCTCCCATAACACCTCTGCATGCATCCCTGCTGTCATCCGTTTGTTTCATGTGTGAATTCTCCATTGGAAGTAGGGGCAGGCTGCATATTTCATGCCTCTGGTGCTTTAAGGCATGCCTGTCAGAGAGCAGGTGCCTAATAAGCATTGACCCAAGGACTGAAGGAAGCTTCTCAGAGCTTGCAGGGTGGGAGGCCACCCAGATCCTTTCCTGGGTCAGGTCAGGCTGGGTGTGACTGTCCTGGCACAGCTGTCACGGACTTCCTTCTCTTCCCTCTGCCATCCTTTTGCGAAGTTAAGTCTGTTCACGCCCTGCATCCAGGTGGAAGCAAAGCACCTTCCTATTATTCCTCCATTTGCTTCCATTTTCAACCTTCCCTGTATTTATTTTTTTTTTATTTTTTTTTCAACGTTTATTTATTTTTGGGACAGAGAGAGACAGAGCATGAACGGGGGAGGGGCAGAGAGAGAGG